TCATGTAAAGCCGTTGGGCAGCAGCAGCTCGCTACAATTTTAGTCGATTCAATTTGAAAAATGAGTTCAATTTTTCCACTTTTAGTCGCTATCCACGAACGAAAAAAACCCTATTTATTTCGTCTTTTACACTATAAAATTGATTGGCATTCGTCGTCAATTTCCATGATTACCAAGCACAGAGGAGTGTTCAAAACGATATGTGCCTGTGGTGTTATTAAGTTGTTGGTGAAATTGAGTAGTTAGTTAAGTGAACGACGAGATCGTCGTGGAGGATCGTTTTGTGGCAATTGGATGAGCATTGAAGAAATTTATTTCATCTCATTTCTTGTAAAGGGGCTGAAAAAAGATATATTAGTTCAGTGGTTCGTTTTGATGTGGAATCAAGCAATGAAAAATGATCAAAACCAGAGAAGTGAAAAGACGGAAATTTTTGTGCTTTGTTATATTTTCGAAAGCATTTTCAATAAATCACTTTTGCTTGAAAAGACGATAATGAACCATCGGCAACACTAGGTCCGTTGCCCATTTACCTTTATTCCAATTGTGTTGCAGCGTTGATTTTGCTCATTTTGTTGTTGTTATGAATGATCGAAATGAAATGCATGCATGCTGCTCTGTTTGAGATTTCACTCTGTTTCGCTCATTTTTGAGCACATTTCATGCAAAAGTCGAAAATGAATGAAAGGGGATTCAATAGAGATATTTGTACGTTGAGAACGATATTTCATCAACGTTTGACGTGCGATTGATTGTGATTAATTGCTATCTATCTATGCTTGGCTATTCAAGCACATGCTGCGTATATTGTTTGTTTTTTTTTNTTTTTTTTTCACTTATTCCCGTCAAAACTAGTGCTTCAGTTCATGCATTAATAAATGCAAATGTACATATTGCTTTAGGGATTCACTATTCTCAAAGCTGAGCTCGTCAACTCCATAAGTAGAATAATCCAAATTGAGATCATGAAGAGCAATTGAGCAAGTTGACGTTTGCAGCGAATTTTGCAGTTTCTTCACAATTTCAAAATGAAATCTTAATTTGACACTGCCCAAATGATGTTTTGCCTATTCGTTTATTATCTATTTGGAACGATGATATAGCGGAAAATTTCTGTGGATGAGAAAGCAGAGTGATTTCGGATGCGAAACCACTGTGATTCTGCTAGAAACTACTTAAATTTGTGTTGAGTAGGTGATGATACAAATGATCATAGTGTCCTATACGCCATTATGTCTCGTCAGCCATCGAGGTATCAGTATCCGTTTTCCGGATTTTAACAAGAGGATTTATCCCTCAAACTTGTCTTCATGTCCATATTCTCATTATCGCTATCTCGTTAGAGGATGAACTTTTTTGTGGAGATTCAATGAAGTGAAAACATATTCAGAATGTAATTGTTAAGTGGAGGAAATGCTTTGAGTATATGTATATGTGTATATTGTTATGAATGTTTGTCTTCAATAGTACATAAGATCATGCATTTGTGCAAACACACACAAAGAGATGAAGCTAGAATTCACAATCGCTCCACCCAGTCGGCTTTAAGCTAAAGAAGTAACTGAAGCAAGAGCAGTAGTCAACGTACACGTACACGTATTAAACGATTAGGAAGTTCGCTTCAGATGGCCGTCATTGTCCGATCATATTTATCTATTCATTCATTTATTTATATTTGAATATGTCCGTGCCTTTCACGGTCAACCCTACACTCACACTGTGATGACATGTCCAGAGTTTGCTTGATCATGCAAACAACGTTGCCTCTATTATCCTTAAGCCATCCATTCTCTCATAAGTTTCCGCACCTTTGCCCAATTTCGTTTTAGATGGATTCGTCAATTTCATTTGAGAAGTTAGTGCTTCTCAATTGTGGTGATTGATGTTCCATTCATGAATTGTCATCGAGTGCAAACAATCGCGTTGTTCAAATGTTTGATTATTGTGCGAGATCGGTGTTCTGTGTTCTCAAATGATAACTTGCAGAAGAAGGTTCTGAAGAAGAGCTCGTTGTTATCTCCTACAAGTCCATCGGTTTTGATCTCAAACATTAATCATCGATCGATCAAATTTGAGCTATTATCATGTTAAGTACGATATTCTCATAGCCATGCATATTTGATATATCCAACTCTGCTATTACCACAACTTCATTCATATGCAATAATTTATTATCGGACAAAAAGTGATGCTGTCCTCAAAACGATCAGCGTTAATCACTTTAATTGGACTCACAGCAATACTGCTTGACAAAGCAACACCTTTATCACTGAGCAATTTCACTTTTGAGGAGAAATGTAAGGCGATTCATGCGCAAGGATACGGTATTAATTTGGTTCGTTCATTTCTATTCACATGCGAAAGCATCGCGCTCTAACATCGACAATTCTGAAATCATCTTTTTTCGCTTCAATTCACTTCAACTCACAAAATTCTCAGTCTTGACTGCAGCACAAACAGGAAAGCCTTCTTCTTTCATGAACACATGAGATCCCTCTACTAGTGTGGTCATTCAAGAAATGAAAGATGATTACCCTGGCCAAAACGCATTCTGATTTTTTACACAAATTGAGAACTGAGTGGACTTTTTGAGAGCCAGCCAGCCAAATTTACAACCGAAAATTGGTTAGTTAAAAACAGAGAAAGAGTATGGAAACGGAACTCACTATGAGATGAGATGGGGAAAAAATGAGTTCAAAAGTTTGAAATTGTATTGAAATAGACAAATACGGCAAGCAATGATCTCCCAAGTGGACTGGACTGCTTGTTCTCAGTACACTAGTGCAATGAGTCTCCTTAAATAGATGTGAGTGTCTCTTGAAATTGCTTGATTGTCACCATTACGCATTATGTTCATGATGGTGGTGATGGTGGCCATATAACATTAGTTAATGAATATGTCAACAGCTTCATCATCACAGAACACAACAGCTTCAAGCCAGGCTGGTACACTTCAACAAATTTCATTCGTTCGCCCTTTTTAAAAAGCAATAAAAACAAGAGAATAGTAAAAACGAACAAATATTCAATAATAGCCATACACTTCAGTGCCAAAATCGATTCCACTCGTTGAATCCACTGAAAAGGGAAAGTGCTCCACTCCATCTTCAGAAAATCCTTTTCATCCAGAAATGTCCGATGTCCTTTTGAATTGTTGATGAAAGCTTCAGTATGCCATCGTGCTAACACATTGGAATATCTGTTGAGAGATCGATCGACCTCTTTCAATCAGAGATAATTAGTAGTTAAGAATCCAAAAATAGTGCATCGCAACTGATCGTGAGTCATTCCAATCGCCACTAATTGCCTTCAGGTATGTTGCAATAAGCAAAACAGTGTGGACTCGAATTGTCAATATCAAACACTTTGTAAAACGAAACACTGTCATTGCTATTTGACCGTACTTGATAAACTGGAATGTGCCACAAAGCCAACCAAGCAATTGTATGTATGGCAAGATCACAGTAAACCGGCCGAGCATCCTTTCCAGTGCGATAGTCCGAATTTTCCGAATCGAAATGCTGAATACAACGTGAAGATCTATCATTGGGAGAAATGGTAAGGAGGCCAAATATTTCATGAAACATATCGATCGCATTCTATCTCATTGATTAGCCGAATCAACTTTGTAAAAAAGTTTTCACCGCGAGAGGACCCCTGAAATGGGACTTTGAACTTGTTGGGTATCCGCTTCTCATTGCACCAATCTTTTCGACGAGAGGTTTAGGGGGCTTTTACCAAACACAATGATATTCACTGATCTCAAATGCATGATGTTTCGCGAATGGCTAAATTGATCATTCGAAGACTTTAATCTGGGTTTTTGTATTGCAATTGCATGTTTGAGACGAATTATGAACTGAAATGAGAGAGGAAAG